AAACAATGTAATGACATGAAAAAATACTAAATTCACAAAGCTTTTTATTTCTGGTTCTCAGGAGGATATATATATATATATATATAATTTTTACTTAAAGGTAAAAAACTTGGTAAAGGTATAGTTGGTACTGCGCCCAAACAAAATCTTACTTGAAAGCTCATGTTTTGAGATTTCAACCTCAAATTTGGAGCACAATTTGTTTAGATTTATGCCTTTGATTTTCTTGCAGTTTTAGAATAAAACGTGTTTTGGAAAATATATGTTTCATATAAAATGTACAAATAGTATATTTGTGCATTTTTCTTAATATTAAACTAAAACTTTTTTGTCTTCTTTAAAAAGAGACCAAAGTCTGAACTTCAAAGCATTTAAGATTTATGACATTTATGCACAGTAATATTTTAACTATTAATAAATAAAATAACATATTAACACACACACACACAGAAAAAAAAGTTTACTGACACTGACAAAACTGATCATATATGAAGTAAATAATATTACTTTTATTCTAATGTAGCGTCTGGACCAATCAGACACACCATTTTTCATTTGATTTAACAAATCAATTATTCATTAGATTAAATGCATTGGTTTTCTTTTAGGAGTAGACTAGCTATGATTTGTCAGTAGATGTCATTTTGCCCAACAGTGTTGCATTATGTATATTTACTGCATTACTGTGTGTGTTTGAGTATATTTTACTTTTTTTTTCGTCTTGTGTGTGCGTGTTTGTCCACAGGCAACAGATTGCTGAGCTGCATGCAGAACAAGAGAGGTTGCTGCGAGCGCGCAGAGAGAGCGAAAGTCCGGCTGTTAAGGCTGTCAGTGCTCTGCTAAAGCAACGTGACAAGCTGGACGAAGAAATTGAGAAAGAAAAACAGACCCAAGCAGAGCTGCAAAAAGAGGTGCATATGTGCCTAAGTATTAAACATCATCACAAAACACATTCTCATACTGTGCAACAGATAGTTATTTGCATGCATTCGGTTTACAGATCATGATTATGGAGAAAAAACTGGCGGAAACGAGAAGAGGACAGGCTTCCCACGGTCACAATTCTCAG